TCCTAGCTACTCAGGAGGCTGAGGCAAGAGAATCACCTAAGCCCAGGAGTTGGAGGTTGCTGTGAGCTGTGACACCACAGCACTCTAACTAAGGCAATAAAGTAAGACTCTGTCTCTAAAAAAAAAAGAAACCTTTTGTAGCACAGGCCTAAATTTTTACTTAAAGAATTGTGTATGTATAGATATTTTTAATTATTATCTTTTTTTAATCGTTTTTTTTTTGAGACAGAGTCTCAAGCTGTGGCCCTGGGTAGAGTGCTGTGGCATCACAGCTCACAGCACCCTCAAACTCTTGGGCTTAAGTGATTCTCTTGCTTCAGCCACCCAATTACAGGCCCCCGCCATAATGCCCAGCTATTTTTTGATTGTAGTTGTCTTTTTTTTTTTTTGTAGTTTTTGGCCAGGACCAAGTTTAAACCCACCCCCTCCGTATATGGGGCTGGTGCCCTACTCCTTTGAACCACAGGCGCCACCCTGATCATAGTTGTCATTGTTGTTTGGCAGGCCCAGGCTGGGTTCGAACCCACCAGCTCTGGTGTATGTGGCTGGCCCCCTAGCTGCTGGAGCTACAGGCGCTGTGCTGATATTTTTAAGTATTTTAAAAAATGCTAATCTAAGGCTCTGAAGTCATACTTGGTTATGGATAATAACAAAAGACTCAAGTTTTCCATGGGCCATGCAGAAATTAGCCCAAGTTTGATTTTGTCATTCCTATTTTTCAGATTCAACAAATCCTGCACTGCAGCCTGTCAGACTCCCACCAAATGGTTGTATGTGAGCATTCTTCAGTACGATAATAACTACTAATGTATATGTAAAACAAAAAAAAAAGAAAAAGATAACAATTATGAATTGGCCTGCAATAAACATTCTGGTGCAAAAAAAAAAAAAAAAAGATAACTAGTAACATCCAAAGCATAATACCTTCACTGGGCTTCATATGTTAATGCCACAGAGGCAATAAATAGCTCAAATCCAAATTCTTCATAATTTAGCCCCAGTGAGGAAAAATACACGGTGGCCATAAAGTTGTAACTATTCAAATTGCTCATGAACTTTATGGCCACCCTATATAATCAAAAACCAGGACAACAGTAAATATCCAACAACCCTCCGCCCCCCCAAACCCTTTATAAGGTTTTTCTGATGAAAAATAAAATTGCTTTTCTATTGTCTTTCCTATAATGAAGTAGGCCTATGCTGAGGAACGCGTTGCCTTCTGACTTCCAGTCCTCCTCTCTAAAAAACTGCAGTGACAAGATAAGTAAGAGGATTTCTGCTGAGCCCTGGAACTTTATTCTATAAACAATTAGACCTTACATTGTGCCCATGATCAAGGTTAGATTGTGGCTAAGCAACATTGTGTTCTTTCTTCCCTGAGATCAGAAAATGTGCTCTAATCGAGTCACATATCATGAACTATCAGGCTTATTTCTGAAAACTTTCCTCCAGGAATTATGAATTTGCTGATTAGAATGTCATCTGGCTAACAAAGTCAAGGCCAGTGGTCGCTCCCCTTTGTTAAATTTGTTACACTGCACAGTCCCACCCTTGCCCAAAACACAACAGTATTAACTCATTACTACAAGTGAAAAATGATTCAAAAGATAGTTCCTAACATTAATCCCTTCTGTTGAGAGGGAAACATCTTGAACAAACGTGGTTAATTATCCCATTATTTAAAACTCCCCCCACATATGTGAATTTATTCTTAAAATCCATAAAGTACACATTTAAAATTCTTATTTTTACAGAATTATTTTATGATTTGCCATTATATGGGAAATAAAAAACAAAAGGCACAAGTATTGAATCCTAATCAAATTAAAATAAACAACCAAAGTAGAATAGTAGGGCGGTGCCTGTGGCTCAGTGGGTAGGGCACTGGCCCCATATACTGAGGGAAGGGGGTTTGAACCCAGCCCCAGCCAAACTGCAACAAAAAATAGCCGGGGATTGTGGCAGGCACCTCTAGTCCCAGCTACTTGGGATGCTGAGGTAGGAGAATCACCTAAGCCCAGGAGTTAGAGGTTGCTGAGAGCTGTGACGCCACAGCACTCTACCGAGGGCAATAAAGTAACACTCTGTCTCTAAATAACAAACAAACAAACAAAAAACCAAAGTGGAACAGTAGCCGGTAAGGAAAAAATCTATTCCAAGGCCAGGCGTGGTGGCTCACGCCTGTAATCCTAGCACTCTGGAAGGCCAAGGTGGGTGGATTGTCTGAGCTCAGAAGTTCCAGACCAGCCTGAGCAGAAGCAAGACCCCCATCTCTTTTAAAAAAAAAAAAAAAAAAAAAAAAAAAGCCAGGCATTGTGGCAGGCGCCTATACTCCCAGCTACTTGGGAGGCTAACATAAGAGGATCACTTAAGCCCAAGAGTTTGAGGTTGCTGTGAGCTACAATGATGCCACAGCACTCTACCAAGGGTGACAAAGTGATACTCTTATCTCCCAAAAAAAAAAAATCTATTCCAACATTTGGCTTCTTACTAGTCTAGCTAATCTGAATCAAAAGTGAGAAATTCAACACGTCAGAGGGAAGTTAAAATATTTTCATTAGTATTTTGGGCTACTTAACTAAACTTTAGGAATTCATTAACAACCATTTAAAGAATGGTCACTATAAACAGAATCAATAAGAAACATACATAACACAGTTTGATCCTACTCTGAAGCATTTGGTTATCTACCACTAACACCTCAGCCTTTAACACAAGGGAATCTTTTTTTTTTTTTGCAGTTTTTGACCAGGGCGGGGATTAAACCCGCCACCTTCAGTATGTGGGGCCAGGCCCTACTCCTTTGAGCCACAGGCACTGCCCCAGGGAATCTTTTTTTTCCTTTTGAAGAGACAGTGTACTTCTTCAGTGCCCTGTCACCCAAGGTGATCCAACCACCTCAGTTTCCCAAGTAGCTAGGACTAGCACATGACACCAAGCCCAGCTAATTTTTTAATACTTAATTTGTATAGCGATATCTCACTGTCTTGCTGAGGCTAAAAACAAAACATCTTAAAATTCAAAATATTTAATGTACACAGTTACCATTCAATAAAATAAAGAAAGAAAATGAAAAAAAAGTAAAAATATTTCACCGTACCTAGAACAGTGCTTGACATAAGTATTATTAACATTTAATACATAGTTGCTAAATGAATGTGGATAAAAACCCACCAGTTACTATTTTTATATTCATTCAAAAATTTGTGAAATTAATATTATACTATCTTATCAATGGAAATGTAAAAATACAAATGTACATATAAAAAACCCACTATAACTTCTATAATTCTTGTTAAAACATTACCTTTAAACAATCTCACTTCAACAGAAAAGTCTAATTAGAGGCTTGGCGCCTATAGCTAAGTGGTTAGGGCACCAGCCACATACCCTGGGCTTGGTGTGTTCAAACCCAGGTCAGGCCTGCCAAACAATGACAACTACAAAAAAAAAAGTAGCTGGGCAGTTACCTGTAGTCCCAGCTACTTGGGAGGCTGAGGCAAGAAAATTGCTTAAGCCCAAGAGTTGGAGGTTGCTGTGAGCTGTGACACTATTGCACTCTACTGAGGGTAACATAGTGAGACTGTCTGAAAAAAAAAAAGTCTAGTTAGAAAATAAAAGGTCAAAATAAATGGTTAACCATAAAAAAACTGTAGAAATATGAATAGCTGGGCAGCCCCTGTGGCTCAGTGAGTAGGGCGCCAGCCCCATATACTGAGAGTGGTGGGTTCAAACCTGGTCCCAGCCAAACTGCAGCAAAAAAGTAGCCAGGCGTTGTGGTGGGCGCCTGTAGTCCCAGCTACTCGGGAGGTTGAGGAAAGAGAATCAAGAGCTGGAGGTTGCTGTGAGCTGTGATGCCACGGAACTCTACCAAGGGTGACAAAGTAAGACTCTGTCTCAAAAAAAAAAAATAAAGAAATATGAATAGCATAAATTCATGATTTATATCTGAAGCAAGCATGGAATTCTTCACATAGAAGCCATAAATTTAACCCCTAGGTGTCTGATGGCTACAATTATCTACACTTCATTGCAGCATACTAATCCCAGCCACCCGGTTCAGTAACTACGCAGAATTAGACTGCCAAATCATTATGCCACTCACCATTTATTGGAGCCAAAAATTCTAGGCGCTAGAATGGGAACAAGGTAATCAGCCAAGCACAGAAACATAACAAAACAGGAAACACCTGACAGAACAGATGGATCTAGATAGTAGATAATCCTGTCAAAAAAATAAAGATTAGAAAAACGTAATCATTATTCCTAGTTAAAGATATTTAACTATTCACTTAAACATGTTTTAAGTTCTTAAACATGTTCTTAAACATGTTTCCCATTTTCTAATTTTCCCCCAGGTCGTTTCCCAGAGGCTTTATAACATGTAGATACCACAGCTGCAACAGTCAATGTAAATATTAATAAATATTAATACATAAAAGCTCTTTGAGGTCCTCAATACTTTTTAACTGTGTAATCTCAAGGCTAAGAAGTTTTGAGAGTCACTGATTTACTCAACTGTATTAGGTTACCAAGTTTACGTAAGTACTACAGAGTCTAGAAACCAGGAGAATTACTTGTAAGAAAATGCATTCTTTATGGATTATGTATTACCAAAGACTAAAGGTGTTTCCATTTAAATGGAGGTTATGTATCACTTGAGCCTTTATCAATAACAAGCACAAAACAAAAACAAACAGATCTCTGATCTCAGGTGGAATGAAAATTAAAAAAAAAAAAAAAACCCAGCCCCACCCCCAGTCAATCTAATAGCTCACTTACAGAAACACCAAAGAAACCACACCCATGATGGCAGGTGGAAACCAGGCTCTTTCCCATCGGAGGACTTTATCTGTCATCAGCATCACTTCTCCCCATCCTTGCAGCTGCTCTTCCAGACTTGCAGTCTCTGCAGCCTGCATACAATCAGCATTTAAAGCAATCATCTTAACCACGCAACAATTTTGTGCTTTACAGAGTTAAATTCTTCTAAGGTACCAAATATGTAAAATACCTCTTAACCAAATCACTCTTAAACAAGTTAGTTTCTGAAAAATTATGCAACTTCAGTACCAAAGATGGAAACCAATGGGGGTGGTCATCTTGCAAGTCCAAGTTCCGGGATATTTTTTACATACATGAAGTAACATAACCATTATTTTTATAATTTAAGAAAATGAACTCAAAATAGTTTATTAACTTTCCTAAAATCATGCACGGGAGTTATATGGCTGCACCCAGAGTATTAATGCAATTACGATTACTTTAATTGGTGGTTAGCATTGATCTGTTACTTTTGTCATTTCATTGATTTAAACCCTTACTTCCAAATCTATTAGTAAAGCCTTTCCCTGAACAGCATTCAATTTCTAAAATAGCTCTTCGTGTAATGGTATCACTTAGATGCTGGCATTCATTGCACAGTTAAGAAAAACTACTTTCACCAAATTATATGTGGCATTTTAAGCTCAATATATTTCCTCAATACAGTGTTTCTACCACTGTTGAAGACACTTTGGTTAGATTTCAGATTTTTCTGCAAATCTTAACAGCTATCTGAAAGTGGATCCTAGTATGAGCTAATGTGGCAAAAACAAAAAACAAAAAGCCCTGATTTTGGTAAAGAAAAAAATTGCAATAAGAAACCTAAATGTCCACACTGGGAAATATGCAATGGCAGGACAAGGCAGGTTAATCTTTGTTTGTTTGTTTTTTTTTAAAGAACCAAGAGAAAACCTGGCACCCATAGCTCAGTGGGTAGGGCCACATAAACTGGGAGATGGCGGGTTCCAAACCAGCCCAGGCCTGTTAAACAACAATGACAATTGCAACAAAAAATAGCCCAATGTTGTGTTGCGCACCCGTAGTCCCAGCTACTTGGGAGGCTGAGGCAAGAGAATTGTTTAAGCCCAAAATTTTGAGGTTGCTGTGAGCTGTGATGCCATGGCACTCTACCAAGGGTGACA